TGTGTGCGTTTGTGCGTCTGCCACGGTTTCTCATCTCAAGACCTGCAAAAACTACAGGGCTGAAACTTTGGGAGCTTAATCTACATGCACGTACGGGCCCCAGTCTCCAAAATGGACGCCATTACCCACATGGTACCCGTGTAAGAGCCTCCCAAAGTTTTTTACGGGTAAGCTGCTAACTCGGGAACCAGAAATGCTTGGGAGCTGAAATTTTAAAATTTTAAGAGGGTGTTCTGCGTCCAAGTAGGTACTAATGAGCTCAAATCCAGCTCCCGGGTAAGCGTGGTACCCGTATGCGGGTCCGCCAAAATTTTTTTCGGCCAGGTTGATAACTCGGGGATCCGAGAAGCTAAAAAGCTGAAATCTTAGAGGGATTTTCCTCGTCCAAGCAGGTATTAATGAGCTCAAATCCAGCCCCCAGATAAGCGTGGTATTCGCGTACGGGCCCGCCAAGGTTTTTTTTTCGGATAAGTTGATAACTCGAATACCTGAAAAGCTAAAGGATTGTAATTTTAAGAGGATATTTCCCGTCCACCTAAGTCTCATCGAGCTCAAACCCTGTCCTCGGGTTTGCGTGGTACTCACGCACGGGCTCACCAAAGTTCTCGGGTAAGTTGCTAACTCGAGGACCTGAAAAGCTAGAAGGCTACAGTTTTAAGAGGATACTCCCCGTCTACGTAATTCAACGAGCTCAAACCCAGAGGTCGGGCGTGCGTGGTACCCACGTACGAGCCCGTTGAAGTTTTTTTCCAGTAAGTTGCTGATTCAGGAGCCAGGAAAGCTAGAAAGCTGAAATTTTAAGGGGGTGTTCCCTGACAGTTCTGACGGCCAGTCTTAATTTGTTTAGCTAGAAGCATTTGCCGAAAAAACCGGTGTAGATAGCGATAAAAACTGCGAGGAACTACGCAAAAAACTCATCTTCCCACGGGCATCTCGTGCGTTGGCCAATTTTCTTTTTTTCTTAGATTCGCGGTTGGTGAAAGACCTGTGAAAGTCGATCATTCGGCTTGCTTTGTTAAGCATCTCAAAGTAGCTGTCTGAGGTTTTTGCAGTTGTTTGGGCGTCATTCCTATCCATATTGCATTGGTACTGATATTGAATTTGTTACTCAAAAGCTTCGGGCTCCAGGTTTTTAATATGGGTTCAATTTGTTTGATACGTTTAATTAGTACGTTGGTTCGGGGAAAGGAATTTCTTGTAAGTGTAAGCTAGTGACTAAATGAGAAAGTAGCAACTGGCAAAAAGAGGCCTTTTGGAAGACGATGTTACCAGGTATGTCGATTTTTCCCTGCTTTGTCCCCGACTAAATTACTCTTCCATCTGAACATATTCAGCTCTTTAAGTGGTTATGTGACTCACTTTTTTTTTTGTAATTTTTCTACTCATTTTTACCCCTCATCTAGCTGTTTTTTTGCAGACATTAAGTTGATTTTGCAACGCGGTTTGTATCAAATGAATTTTTAGAGATGTATTCTGGAAAGGAAAAACAGATAATGGTGTTTGGAAATTGGTTGAATTACTGGGCTGGACAAAAGATTTCAAAAATTTGATGGAAACTGGGCGCGATAAAGCGGATGAGAAGTTTGCAGAGGGAAAAGCTACATCATCTGTAACAAGTAATGGTACGGGTAACGAGTCAGTCGATAGCGCGGTTGAGTCTGTTAAGCGAAGTGACGAGGAACCAACCAAATGATTCGTTCTTTCTTTTACCCGAAATCATGTTCATATGTTTTTGCAACACATCAACATGTACTGTATATTACGAGTATCACTTCTATGCCTTATTATATGAAACTGTTTGAAGATAACGACACGAAAAACCATACCTGCTTATTCATTTCCCCATTGTTCTTATGAGTGAAAGAGCGCTCCCTAGTGATCAGCTTGCTGGTTACCTTGACGCTTGTTTCGTTGCTTCCTTCCCTCAAAAGAAAATCCTTAGTCTTATTCTTCGCATCACCGTTGTAGTTCATCAGCGTGCCTCAGCTGTTTTTTCCTCGTCTCCTTATCCTTATCACTTGCTAGAGAGAGTGAACCAAATTCTACGTCAGTTTCCAGACATCCTTCCGACCTGCCCCAAACTCCTTGTTTGCAGTTGTCCCAGCGTTCTCCATGTTTTTTGTGTGCTATCATAAAATTGTATTGTTTTTCTTATTTGTCGCTAATCCACTGGTTTGGTCAGAGCATGCTTGCTGAATGCAGCGCAAAATATACGGACAGAATGCAGAAGCTTGAAAAAATTGGGAAAAAAGCAAGCCAGTGAAGTAACTGGTGTGGTTTCGTGTGGAGATTTTATTTGTTTTGATGAATTTTGAGAATAAAATAAATCTCAGACCGAAATAGCACATCCAGAAAACAGCTCACATGACAGTATCAGAAAAAATACCGCGACCGGTCCATTTTGCCCTTATATAACGTACTCATGAGAATTATGGTTTTTGTGTGTTTTTGCATATGTGCAAATGCAAATTGTGACGGCCCGGGTGTGTGTGTGTGTGTGTGTGTGTGTGTGTGCACGCGAGTGTATGCGCGCGTTTGTCTGGGTATTTGAACTCGGTAACTAAGCGAGCTACGGCGCTGAAATTTTGCCAGTGGCCAAGTGCCACCCCAAGGCCCCGGTACCGACCTTCATGCACATCCGAGCGCTGCGTACAAGCGCATGTAAGTTTTGACGGGAAAATCGCTAACTCGGAATCAGAAAAGCTAGAAAGCTGAAATTTTAAGGGGATGTCCCCAGCCCGCATGAAACTTAAGTACTGCAGATCCAGCCCTCAGGTGTGCCTGCTTCTCGCGTTTTAAACGGGGCAGAAAAGATCAAATTTTTCTTCAGACAAAGTTTGGTGCTTTTTCATTGAACAGTTTTTTACACTGCTGCCACTCTGATGGTCTCGTTGGTTTGGCATTCGGATAATATTGAAATCGAAGTGATCATAACTTTCGTTGTGAGTTTATTTGCACATCGAACTACATTTAGGCCGCAAATTGTTATCCGCGATTATTTCAGTACTCCCTCAGGCCTTTAGCAACGGTCCCTGCGCTTATGGTCATCACCGCAAATGAAACTAGATATTGCCTGAGCAAACCGTAAATGTCTAAAACACTGCAGATGCAGCAGGGAGTTCCTGTCCTAGGAAAAGTAAGCCGATGAAAAGGGCATTACTGCAGTAAGCTGTCTTTCAAACACCTGAACAGAAAGCTGCCACACTTTTTACCGCAGCGGCGCCAACACTGGAAAAAACTGCTATTGAAATGAACTGCTTGTTACTTGTAACTTATGCCAAAAGGCAGTTTTGCAGCTCAACGTCTTAGGCGTGAGCTGCATAATTTTGATGATAACCCACAAGAGCTGATAAAGGGATCTGGAAGTGGTGCAGGTTGGGCTTAAATACCACTGCAGGGGAGACATTCACTGTTCCGCTGTTTTAAGTGTTCTTGCACAAGTTTTGTTCGTGACAGAGTTCCGTTTGGTCCTCCAAAGCTTTCAATGTCGATTTCTCCTGAAACAAAAAAAAAAAATGTCAAATATTAAGCCTTCCGTAGTATAGTTCACGCATGCTTGCACGCCGCAATCAAAACACATTTGCGCCACATAACTTTTCCTCCAGTCACTTGAAACAGATTGATTTTTATGCGTTTTTTTGCACATTTCTGCAAATCCAAAAACGCATACTGGTAAGAGGTTGCCTGTGTGTTTAGGTGTGTGCGTGCGTGCATGTGTGTATGTATTTGTGTATATGTTCGGATTTTGTCATCCATTCTCAGCTTAGCAACCAGGGAAGCTAATAAGCATGAGTGTTTGGACATATTCCCAACCGCATATGACCCTCTCGCTTAGTATTATTATCCACATGCGCTTTGGTCTCACGTTCGGACGCCTCGAAGAAAAAATGTAAATCCTTTTTTTGGCAGTACAGCGCTTTCGAAGACCAGACAAAATAGGAGGTTGAAATTTCACAGGGATGGTCTGCCTCTGTTCTTGCGTGGGCTAAACATTTCAAATTTAGCTTTAACACACGCCCACGTCATGTGCACGAGCATTTTAAGGTTGAGATTGCGAAATCGCTGAAAAAATGCCAACTCAAGGACCTAGCTGCTTTGAGCGCTTTAACTTTACGAGGATATTTGTTTTCCATATCGGAGCACGTAGGCCTGAAATGAGCTTCTACATACCCCTATGTCGCGCATTCGAACGCGTTATAGATAGTTGCAACGGAAAGAGATACCGCCAACCAGTCAAATTAGGAAACTGGGATTTTATGAGGATATTTTAATGTGACTCAAATATTTCAAATTCAATCTTCAGTCATACCTAGACGTCGATTGCGCACAAATGAAAGTTTAGTTTGGGGCATTGTTTATCTTCAATTAACTTGGTGATCAGACTGAGCAAGAACTTGAAAATGTTTGATTTTCGTGTGTAGACTATCATGTGCAAGAAGAACTTCTGCTTGGGCATGACTGTGCGTACAGGTACGTCGCTACTGGATTTCGTATTAACTGCACGTGTGCTGCGAAGTACCAAAATAAAATGTAAGCGCAGGCGCATCGGGCAGAAGCCTTGTAGTGCACAGTACATCTGACCTGCATTCATCTCACTCAAATCACAACAGTTTTGGGAAAGTTTTTCACTTTTACCTGAATCAATTCTTGCAAGAATATTTTTTGTACACATGCAAAATACTTCCTGAACATTTTCGCCACTTAGCGCGCTCGTTTCTAGGAATGTAAGATCTGAAAATCTCGAGGCACAGATTTGTTATAAAAAATTCCTAAGGACTAGTGGTACCATAAGCTCGATAAACCACTTTTACCACGGTGATGTGCTCGTGGTACTGGTATCGCATAACGGACTAAATTGATAAAGCGTAAGTGGTGCGGATGGAAGAAATACCATTCTGTCCGACCAGGTAACGTGATTGTGTTGTATTTTGAGTGCGCCAGAAGCTAGCCGGTTCTAGCACCACTTGCCATCGGATTATCAATTTTAAGTAAAACGGCAAAATTTAGTCATAGTATGCAAGATTCTGAAGGCGAGGGCACTTCTGGAAAATATGGTTGTATTACTTTTTTGTAGTGCTAGCTCAACAAGTTGGCTGGAGTTTGCTGCTAAACAAATAGCGGCGCGCACCAGGGTAGCCGGTGTGATCATGCATTTTGCACAATTTCGTCCAACGGACGTATGTCTGCTAAGCATTTTCACTGCTTTACACTTTCGTGTGTGGGAAAATAGTCGATATGCTGTCTGGCTCCTAGGCTGAAGAATTTTTCACCAAAATTTGAACCGCCAGTATGCGAAAACAGAATTCGAAACGTTAGATAGTGAACATTCTCCCAAATTTCAAAATCTCAGTTTTCCGGCTTCGGAGCTAGTGGCTTTCACATTATAACTCTCACGTGGTCCTACGTAAGGCCATGGCACACTTTGGAGCTAAATTTGAGTTTTCGGGTTTTGCACAGACACAAAACATCCTCCTGGAATTTCAGCTTCATAGCTGTTTTGGTTCCCGAGATAATAATTTTTCCCACCAAAACTTTCGCGGGTCGCCCATGAGACCCAGGTGTACATAAAAGCTGCATTTGATTCTGCGAGGTGGCATTTTCCCGAACTTTCAGTCTTCTATCTCTTATGGCTTCCAAGTTAGTAATTTTTCCCGCCGGAACTTTCATGGGGGCATAATTGAGACCCAGGTTTGACTGAAAACTGTTTTTGAATTTATGGGGTTGCAAGAGGGCAGGAAACATTCTCGTTAAATCTCAGCTTCTTTGCTTTCATGGCTCCCAGAACAGTTTTTCCGCCGAAACTCTCATGGGGCAGTATGTGTTACTCGCAGAGACAGGAAAGCTGAATTTAAATATTCTGGGTCGCACGTGGGCCGGGAACACACCCATAAAATTTCAGCTTCCCAGCTGCCGTTGTTCCCAAGATAATAATTTTCCTCGTCAAAAGTTTTACGGAGCCGCACGTGTTATCCGCAGCTACGGGAGGGCTGAATTTGAATTTGCGGAGTCGCATGTTGTCGTGGAATCGCTAATTCTAGGAAGAGAATGTGATTCAGGGGGAGGGGAGGAAATGGGGCTGACCCTTTGTGTGTTTTAGCCTTTGTGTTTTTGGGGGCTTTGTATTGTTTTGTTTTTTTGTATGCGATTTAGGAAGATTTGGCCAGCACGTTCACATTCGCCTGCCGCTTCAGCATTCGGCTGCCGCTTTAGCTTTCACCTGCCGCTTTCACGATTCGCCTGCCGCCTTAGTATTTTCGCCTGCACCTGAGGATTAAGGCTGCCGCTTTTGGAGTTCGTTTGCCACCTGAAGATTTCGCCTGCCGACTTGGGAAACCCCGAAATACGCGACACATGTGGGTAGGGGAAAACCTCTAAAATTCTAGCTGCCTAGCTTTTGTAGTTCTCGAGTTGAAAGTGCGGGACAAAATGCACTCGGACACACACACACAGTTTAGGGGTTTTTCGCTGCCCACATACGACTCCGTTTTGTGCTGCTGTTACACAGCGCAAAGCGCATAAAAATTATGATTTCGGAAAAATTGGTCCAATCGACACTTGCCAGTTGTCGATGTTGCAAAAATGCAGCCACTTGCCGTGCGCATCTATCCCAGCCCTGCTATTTTCGGAGCTGTTTGTTTGCAGTATGTTTCCGCTAATTACGTAAGCATTTCACTCTTCTATCTTGCTGCATCG